GCTCCTGGTAGCTATAATGCTTCTGCTAACTGGTTAGCCAAGCCATAATAAACCATATACAGAGGAATATTCATATACAGCGGAAAATTGATTTTCCCCAAGTAGTTAAAAAACTGCACACACTAAGGAATGTTATATGGACACATCACTTCACCCAAATGCTCATTTTCAGTTTTACAATCCAGGCTATGAAGTTGGAATGAACCAGAATATAGTATTCCTTTCAAGGCTAATTTGAGAAAAGTATTCCATACTTCAGCTACTCCATATATGGAACTGCAGCTTTAAACAGTACAATTTATTGATATTTGAGAAAATATGAACTACTGTTTCCAGATTTGGGGAGCATGACCAGGAATGATCAGCATACATTCTTGTTAATTTCCATGCCTATCAATATGGCTTTCTTTATACTAACCCCTGAATGAAATGCTATAAAAGAATTGTCACATTTGATTATAAAAATCAAAACCAGAAAAATAAGTCTTGACTTAAATACCATCCTATTACACTAGAAAATGGAACAAATAAACACTTGGGTGGCATAGTTATCAGACTGCAATATTCTGTAGCACACTGCTGTAAATAGCAGAGGGCAAAGTGAATCTCATCTGAGTGGCTGAAGTATAACAGATTTCTCAATCCTCAAAAAGCAGGGGAGGGGGAAATTGCTTCTTTGGAAAGTAAAGCTTTAAAGGCGGAGCTATAGAACCAGAAATTCCTCTCTACATTAATTCTAAACCCTTGTTTTTAAACAAGACAATTAATATACCTTCACTTTCATCAGAAAAGAATCAACGCCAGCTGAAATTGTTTTTAAAAAAGAAAGAATTGGTTCTAAAGAATAATATGCAAAGGTTTGCATCACTTCAATTCACATCCAGAAATAAATTTCTACTGAAACTACAAAAAAGGCTGTTAACAGAAAAAATAATTAGCTGAGACCCTGAATCCAACAATTTGCAGATCTCTCTCTCTTTCACACAGACACCTAAACACATATGTGCACAGACAGAATATTAAGAACCAGTGAGAAATCCAGCTTGCAGCTTAGCACCATTTTCTGCTATAAAAAACTGAAAAACCTTCCTGTAACCTAGCAACTATGACATATCAGCAAGATAAAATCCTTCTTCCTGTTACATAAAGTAAAGCCTGGTTCACATCACCATTTGTATCTAACAACTGGCATTTTATTTCTACTACTATAAAAACATAAAGCCATTCTTCATAACAATCATAAAGCGGAGGTCAGTCACTGAAGCTATTTTCTCTAAAATACTATTCCTTGGATTGAGCATTTTAAAGAATGAGAAGGCCCAAATAACTGACTAGCACTTTGGAAGTCTTCTTGGACTTCTATTCAAGGAGGACTTTTTGCACATCATCATATTGTGTGACAATTGTGAACTTTTCTGCAATGGGATGCATTACTCACTGCCACTCAACCCTTAGTCATCTCTTGATGAAATTACTGCTATGACCTATAATAGGCCTATCCTTGAAGAGCATTCAAAGAAATTACAATTGGTCCATAACATGCTTATGTAGTTATGGGTGTGCCTTGTGGACTGGGGGTGGGAGGCACCGTGTTGCGGTGGTTCTCCTCCTATCTCTCTGACCGGTCGCAGTCTGTGTTTGCAGGGGGGCAGAGGTCGACCTCGAGGAGCCTTGCTTGCGGGGTGCCGCAAGGGTCGGTCCTCTCGCCGCTCCTGTTCAACATTTATGTGAAGCCGCTGGGTGAGATCATCCGTGGTTTTGGGGTGCGATGCCATCTGTACGCTGATGACACTCAGCTGTACATTTCCACCCCAGACCACCCCAATGATGCCCTCGAAGTGATGTCCCAGTGTCTGGAGGCCGTGCGGGTCTGGATGGGGAGGAACAGGCTTCGGCTCAACCCTTCCAAGACCGAGTGGCTGTGGATGCCGGCGTCCCGGTATAGCCAGCGGGTGCCATCGCTGGCTATTGGGGGCGAGTCACTGACCCCCACAGAGGGGGCTCGCAACTTGGGCGTCCTCCTGGACACACGGCTGTCTTTAGAAGAGCATATGACGGCCGTGGCCAGGGGGGCTTTTTATCAGGTTCGCCTGATACGCCAGTTGCGCCCCTTTCTGGATCGGGACTCCTTGTGCACAGTCACTCATGCCTTGGTTACGTCACGCCTGGACTACTGTAACACTCTCTACATGGGGCTCCCCCTGAGGAGCACCCGGAGGCTCCAGCTGGTGCAGAATGCGGCCGCGCGGGTGATTATGGGAGCGACGTGGCGCTCCCACGTAACACCTCTCCTGCGCGAGCTGCATTGGCTCCCGGTGGTCTTCCGGGTGCGCTTTAAGGTGTTGGTTCTCATCTTTAAAGCGCTCCATGGCTTAGGGCCAGGGTATTTGTGAGACCGCCTGCTGCTACCGATAACCTCCCACCGGCCAATACGCTCTCACAGAGAGGGCCTCCTCAGGGTGCCGTCGGTCAGGCAATGTCGGCTGGCGGCCCCCAGGGGGCGAGCCTTCTCTGTGGGGGCACCCGCCCTGTGGAATGAGCTGCCTCCTGGAATACGATTGATCCCGGACCTCCGGACCTTCCGTAAAGCCCTGAAGACGTTTTTATTTCATCAAGCCGGCCTAGCCTAAATGGTTTTTAATTGGGATTTTAAATTTTATCGATTTGGGGTTTTAAATTTGGGTAGCCAATGATTTAATTCTTTTAATTATCTTAACTTTTGCATTTGTATGTTTTTTAATTTTGGCTGTTCACCGCCCTGAGTCCCTTCTGGGAGAAGGGCAGTATACAAATTAAATTAATAAATAAATAAATAAATAAATAAATAAATGTAAAACTTGTCACCTTCAAGACCTATACAGTTTACACAGTTGGGTATTTGCTGAATGATTTTTTCCAAATAACACTTGCCTGCTCAATAAGATGTAATTGAGTTGTTTATGTGTCCCTTTGACCAGAGGCCATCATCTTCAAGTGTCAGAGAAACATACTTTTTTCAGTCACTGCCTCCTTCTATGGAACAGCATTCCACCTTCCATGATATCTGAACATCTCCCTTCCTTTCTGATCTTCAGAAAATTTGTGAAAACATGGCTGTTCCACTAAATTATGGAATTTGATTCGCTATAAAAATAACACTCCTAGTTTTTTTCTTCTTCCAGTTTTATGTTATCACCAGTTATGTCTTTCAGTTTTATGTTATCACCAGTTATGTCTTCCAGTATTATGTTATTACCAGTATTATAATATACATTTTATTTTTAAATTTGACTTTGTTTTTAATCCCAATTACATATTACGACTTGTATGCCACATATAGTGAGCTGACCAGACCAGTTCTAAGCCATATAAATAACAAATATTGCCTTTCTATTCAGTTGAATCTATTTTTGCAAATGGTGGAGACTATTTTTTCCTTATCACAATTTCTACATAATTCATTTATTACGCACTGATCACACGTAAATCAATTGTATTTTTTGGACTATAAGACACTCCAGACTATAAGATGCACATTAGCTTTAGAGGAGGAAAACAAGGGGGAAAAAATCTGCCTCTGCCGCCCGTTCGTCACCTCTGCGGCCCATTTGCTGCTGCGGCTTGTTCATCGCTGCCCATTCACTGCCACTGCCCGTATGCTGCCACTGCCCATTCGCCACTGTTGTGGCTCATTTGCCGTGAACGGGCGGTCGCAGTAGGCAGCGGCGGCAATCCCTGCTGCCTAGAACAACTGATCAGCGCCGTACCAACCCCCTCCCCCCACTGCAATATTTGCTCTAAGACACACAGACATTTCCAACCACTTTGGGGGGGGGAGTGCATTTTATAATCTGAAAAATACGGTAATCAGCTTTGTCAAATTACCTCCACCACTCTAATATATACACGCAGACACATGTGTGTGCACGCACACACATATACACAAATAAACTTACCTACTTCCTGAAGTGAGGATATAACACCAACTGTGCCTTTGCATCCACAAAAACTATTATTTCTCAACCAACAATTCCTTCGTAAGATGATCCTCACTGTTACCTCACAAATCCCAGGTGAATCTATACATTTCCAGGGTAGATAAATGTACCTGACCTATTCCTCCAATGAATAGGTCCTTTCATCTCCTTTCTCTAAGTTAAACACTTATTTATTGATTGCACAAGACATCAAATCCTGCATGAATCTCTTATATCTAACACTGTATTTTGGAATACATTTACGGTTGCAATGAATGCCTGTTAAATTCTAAACTAATCCTCAAAATCCAACATCTCTGTTCAATGGTAAACATATTCCTTGGTCAAACAAAAGCATCTTAATATTTGCTATTTAATGTTAAGCAAAACACTGTACAGCATAGCTATCATAGTATGTGTCATTTTTCAAAACAGGATTCAAGCAAAACTGCTGCTCTGACAATGGAAGTTTGTCCCGTAAAATATTTCATTTTAGTCACAATCTAGCTGCACAAAAACAATTTCCCCCAATCTGGTATTCTCCAGAAGTTGGATAGGATACATAGGAATTATAATCCAAAACATCTGAAGGGTAACATGTTGGGGAGGCTAATCTAGATAATCTTCTAACTATTATAGCACATTATTTTTACCAACACATTACAGACTTTAAATAAGGTAGTGAAGTATTTTGTTTACATTAAAATTTAGTCCCCCTCAAACTATGAAATAATTGAGCATGCAGAGGTAGCAGAAATCATATGGGCAAAAAACATAACACTACTTCTATAATTCTGAAAATATTCTAATATTGCATATGGACTAATTCATTGGATTTCAGCCAGATTTATTTACAAATTACCATATATTAATAAAAATGTCTATATATATATATATATATAATGAAATGTCCCCTCCAAAAGTAATATACCAAAGTAGAAAAGCATGATGCTCATAGTTTAATCAATAAAAGAAAATTTAAAACAATTTTAAAGGCACTAAATCATTGATTTAATCTTATTTGAAGAAACCACTATTACTCACCACCAGCTCCCTGAATCATGGTGCCTGATTTCTGGACTTCATCAAATTTTGTAAAAATTATGTTCAGCCTGGTTTGAAAAAAATGAAGAATAATGATTTTGGCAGTACTTAAATGACATCGAAATAAGGCATATTTGTGCCTCTAATTTTAAGTCCTTTTTTTCTTCTAATTAAATGTAAATGTTAAATGAAAACAAAAAAAGAGACTACATTTTTTAAAAAAACATGGAATTTCAAACCGGTACATAAATTTTACTGTATTCCTCTTACCCTGACAAAATTTAGTCCATTCTTCAATCTTAGTTTTAATTTACTGAAACAAAAGTTACAGGTAGTCCTCAATTTATAGATGATTGTTTAGTGATGGGACAATGAAACTCAAAAAAATCTATTTATGACACAAAACTCCAATACCTGGGAACCCCTCTCTGTTGTCACATGACCACATTTTGGGCTCACGTTCACAGCAGCAATTTATGACATTTTTGTGAAAATTGGTATTTACTTTTGATTTCCAGCAAAAGATATCCTATAGCGAACAATGGATTCACTTTATGACTGCTATTTTTGCTTAAAAACTGCCACAATAAGGTTATAAAATTGAGTCTAGTCATGTGGTAACCTCCCTTAAAATCATCACAACTTATGACCAAAATTGTGGGCTCAATTGTACATTGAAGACTACCTATACATCATTTTCCAGGAACATACACAAATAAAATGCCACTACTTCAGGATATGTTGCGTTTTAATCTCATTATTTTCAAGATAGTATCATAAAAGTTGCTTACAATAATCTAATTTTTTTAAAAAAACACAAGTGGACTTCAAAACCTAACAAATGAACAAAACTCAGAAAAAGAAGCTTTTCACTCACCGAGACTGTGGCAATCCTTTTTTGCTGAGATCAGCTCTTACACGTTCACCTACATGTCTGTAGATTTCTACAAGGCTATTTATTGCTGCATCACGAACCTAATCATTAGAGAATAACAAAGGAAAATATTTTATATGTTGCAGTTTATGACTAATTTATGATTAAAAATAGTTATAGTTAATTTTAAGACAATGGCTTTAGAAATCACAATAGGTTCATCTTCATTTAGTTTCCTTGAAATGACCACAGTTAACGTAAATCAGTATTCCCAATGACATCCAGGCAACAAATCATAATTAAACGAAAGCACAAATTTTCAAAATTCTTCTGAAAGAACCCAAGATTCTTAAAAGCTTAGTGAAATTAATGCTAATAGCCTACTTGCTATATTATAGCTTATTGGAAAATAATTTCTATACAGGTACTTACTTACATCACTGTTCGAAATTACAATAGACCTATCAGGGGTCTACTTACAGTATGACCCAGATTTGAAGTTCTGACAGTTGAACCCCCGCCTATAGTCACATGACAAAACTTTGGGGGCCGGGCAAAAGGTTGCATTTCTGTCTGTTTGTAGCATCCTGTGGTCGTGTGATCATGTTTTATGGCAGTTTTGCTGAAAATGGCATTTACTTCTGGTTTTCAGCAAAAGCATGCCCATAGCAAACAATTGTATTGGAATTGGAAATAAAAAGGAAGAATAAACTGGAATTTATTTCTGCATGTACATTTCCTGCTTGCCTGAGAACCAAGTTATAATGGTTCTTCCCACTATCATTTCCTCACATCATCTTTCCTGTCTACAAGGGCACTGTTCAGAAAGCACTTCATGGTTTGATGTTGTGGTGAAACAATACAAAACTAACAACTGCACTTCTTAGAGAAAAAAGCAATTGCTGAAACAAGCCAATTGGCTTCAGACACCATGGCCAGTTATCCAATTAAAGAAACTTTCATTGAGTACCGGTAATCGATGTGTTTGTATGTTTCAGTATGTCTTGGTGGGGAAAAAAAATTCTCTCTGTTTTTCAATAATGTCCATTCATAAAAGTCATTATTTTAACCAAGTATTAAATCAATCACAACTGGATGGGTTTACTATTTATCCATCCATGAATTATTTTACCTTCCACTTAAATGAGTAGGCAAAGCAAGTAACAACGATTAAAACAGAAAGTACAGAAAGTTCCAAAATGAAAGTTAAAATCAAAGTAAAAAATCAACAAATAAAAGAATCAGTCTGATAATGGTAGAATATAAGAGGAAAGAATGAATGAGTGAGTGAACAAGTAGATAAGTGAGTGATTGGTGGAAAAGATAGCCCTTTACAATTTTCTAAATCTAATGATAATAGGCAACAAATGCAACTCCAAAAATAGTTCACTCCATGGCAGAAGGACTTCTCCTGTGTGGTAAAATAAACTAATTTCTGACTGGAAGTATCTGGCAAAGCATCTTTTTTCACAACTTAATGTGAAAGCAAAAAAAAAAAACCCTAAAAGTGTCAAAGAGGATGTCATCATTATTCATCCAATTACAGAGAAAATTTGTGAAGGCTTTGAGAAATAATATCAGAGCAGATTAATAGACAAGCTGGAACTGCCTAAGGAGATCACAAGCCACGGAAGTGTCTGTAGTAATAAATATATGGCATATATAAGGTGCCACAAGACATTTTGCAATCTGTTGCTGCAGAAAACTCATCTGGCTAACTCTATGGTAATTTGTAAGTGCATATAATTAACTATCCGACTTTCAGTAGAGCCTCTAGCACAATCAATCACATTTCAACCCTTCCAGCCTTATACCCTGATTTGTTAACCATAGATAACAACAAAAATGCAGAGATTAGTACATTAATAAAAAGGAGCCCATTTTCCCTTAGCACTAACATAGAATAGTGCTAAGTATATTCCTAGAGAAAGAAAATATCCTCTTTCAAAAATCAGCATACCAGTGCAGCAGATTGTTATTAGAGGAATCAAACTCTGTTTCTCTTGTATGTGCAGATTGCTAAATTTTGTCAATATATTTACAATACACCTGCAGGAGAAATGAAACATGTTTCTTGCCATCATGCTTAACGGAAAAAGCTGTTAAACAATCTTTTAAAATTTCATATTAAAAAGAAATTCTGTCTTTTCTAAATTTTACAGAGAGTTTTGGGTTTCCTACCTTTTCTAGATAAGAAATAATCAATATTACTTGGGTTTTTTTTAAATAGGCGGAATGAGGATTAAGTGAAAGTAGATTAAGGCAAAAGAAAAACAAGTTCTCATGCTGAACAGCAATATAAGCTTGGCATTTGATTTTATCTTGGCATGATGTGTGAACCCAGCCATAGTGGTTTGTAAATTTAGACTATAGTTGTCAAGTGTGAAAGAGGCCAATGTAGAGGCCATTATTCAGCCAATAATGGTTAAATGGTTAAAACCAATTTGATTTTATTGTTTATTAGATTAATTTAGTCCGTACTATCATCTTATTTAATGTTTTTAGGTCTTTTGATATTTTTTCTAGTTTTGTGTACTTCTCAGATTCCATTGGAGTTAGGTTGCCAATAAATTTAAATAAATAAGATAAATAAAATCAAAAGAAGTGAATTATTCATAGGAGCAATCTTGGTCAATATAATACATTGCATCAGATTTGGCATCCACTTCAGACTCAAGGCCTAAATCTAAATAAATTTACACTTAAAAAAAAAAAACTTTTAAACAGGTACAATAGTTTGCTTAAACTGAACTTTTGAATTCTGCATCACAAGAACCTCTAATACACTAGAAGGTCACAGAGGTGAGATGGGTGGTGTAGAAATTTGATAAATAAATAAATAAGGTAGTTATAATGAAAATATAATTTGAATGGCCTTATAAACGATGTCATAATAGGTCAATGTGGCTACCTGTCTTTGATCAGCATCAAATACTGATTCAGAAGGGAAGTTCCAGTTCAAAAAGAGGTTAAAATTCAAAATTGATCTAGGGACAACGCGCATACACATCCAGACATTAACAATAGCATTTCTAGAAAATACTTTCCTCTTCTGTATTTTTCTCTCACAGAGCTGCAAACGTTTCTAATTAATCCTCCATTCTTCTTTCCCACAAATCATACTCATCCTGCCAGCCATCTTCACTAGGCCTCTATCCTCATCCCAAACGGTCCTTCCACCCTGTTCTTCCACCTTTCTGGCCTATCATGGCTGAAAGCTCTCTTTGTCTCCATGGTAACCATAGGTAAGCCACTGTTCTGCAAGACTGGAGGGAAGTAAGGCTTTGCCCACAGACTGCCCAAGGTCTTAGCATCTTGAGGAAAAGAATGATCATAGGAGGGCCAAACATACATATTAAAGGATATTTTTGTGCATCCTCCCACCAAATTATTTACACATATATGTATATTTTTTCTGAACGGTCACTGTTCAAAGTTACACAACTGCTGATAGGCAAAAGTTCTGGAACTTGGACTTTCACTACTGGCCTTACGTATTTCACCCATGCCCTGGGACAGGAAGAATCAACTTCAGGATCCCTAGGCAATTCCAATACCTCACAAGTAGTGCATCTCATTCCCCAAAATAAATGAATAAAAAGGTAGATAAATAGACAGTCATTTTTGTGTGTGTATAGATGAAAAGAATGTATTTAAAGAGGACTACTAAAGAATAGGGCCACGCTGTTGGCCCCATCTCCAGAGACCCAAGTATTAGTGAAGAATTACCCATGAAAGATTGTTATCTGCATTCAGAAGAGTAGCACTACAGAACAGATGGAAGGAGAAAAGTTAAATGTATGGTTTTTTGTCACAGTCAGTAGCATTTCCTTTGAACAACCCAACAACTCATTTGCCTTACAGCAAGAACATGGGCACCTGGTTTATTCCCTCTCCTGCAGGAAAATTGGAGGAAAAAAGATAGAGATTTAAAATATTATTCTAAGTCAGTTTCTTCCAACTTGGTATCTTCCTGATTGGTTTGGACTACAATTTCTAAAAATTCTCTACCATCTTGGCCAATACATATAGAAAGTACCAAGCTGGACAAAACAGTTCTAAAAAAATTTTGAGCTATCACACATAAACAGGAAATGATGCCTTTAAAAAAAATCATTCAATACTTGATGTTTAGTTAATCATCATAGATTTCATGACAAACTGAGGGAAAATAAAATATATATATTTAATTAAAACAGCCGTGCAAGTTTATTTTTTACCATTTAAATATCAATAAAGTAAGCCCCAGAAGCAAAACAATGGTTTTATGGATTTAGGGGGAACTATTCATTGGTGTACTTATCAAAAGCTTTTTTACAATGTCCAATTCCAAATTTCTGGGTAGGATACAATAATATACAATAGTATAAAAAAGGCATCCCAATTACTTCATTTCATACAATTAAAATTCAATAATAAAATACTTGATCACCCCAAAAGAAAGCTTAGGCACTCCTGCTAAGAGCCAGATCAATATACAAAAACATGGCCAAGGTTATACTTGGCTGGAATTTCTTAACAGTGGTTTCATGACATGTAATAAAGTTTATGATGCGGCATTTATTTTTTAGTCCTACATTATGCTTTCCGCTCAAATGAGTTATCTGAGCAACATGGAAGTCTTTGCAGAAAAAAAAAAATAGAAACTCAAAGGCATTGGAGCTCTTGCCTATAATATTTAAATCCTGGCATCTATTCCAGGGGTAGTGAATGAAGATAACTGCATTTTTTTCTTACAGCACAATTAAACGTTATAATTATTATATGAAGGAGGGAAGCAGAAGGTGAAAAATCATGAGAAAAATTAGGATTTGGAATAATACAGCAAAGGTCTGAAATAAATAAAATATCAAATATCAAAGTGTTTAATACTAGGTATCATTTAAGGTATGACTCATTTAAAAGAACAAAGGGAAAAAACCACAAATAAAACCCGACAATTATTCAAAAGCAAATCAATTTAAAAATCAATGGTCTTTTCTACTTCGTTTCAACTAGAAATAAGAATACTGTTATCCTTTCAGACTACCAAATTTCCTCCCAAACTATATCACTCCAGGGCTGTCTGGCAGTTTCTAAGATTAAATCCACAAATCCAGAAGTAGTGTGAAGTATTCCAGATGTTGGGTTGAACACTCCCCAAAATGATGGATTGGGTGACTGACAGTCCATATATTGCAATTAACAGGACAATGCTGATTCACTGTGGCTTTATATCTATTAGTGATAGATTATGTTCTGATAAGATTTGAATTATCTATCCTTTTCAGTAAACTCCAATTATTAAATTGACTGAGTTATTTTTAGACCTGTTCATATCCATTAATAATTAGGTTCATTTCTAATTATATATGGATCAGAACTGGTATAATTCTATCTTGGTTTTCTGGCCTGATCAGGAAAATAACAAATGTTTTGCAAAGAATGGTACTCATGCTCAAAAGGATTAAGATGAGGAATAATTAGAAAATGTCTACATTTTGGGGAAAGACTAATTACCCCATACCAAGAAGAGAAAAAGAGAACAATTAATACCTGTAAAACAATGGAAACCTTCCTCTTTACACTCTAGCAACAGCTGCTTCCCAGTGTTTGTTAGGACAGTAGCTGATTTTAAAATGATTTAGAAGAAATACTTATACCTAGAATGTGCTCTCTGCTATTCATTATTGTGACCCTCTGTTATTTATTAAAGTATGCAGGGTTTTTTTCAAGCTTCCACGTTAGGCTGGAAAAAACATTATTTTGCTTTAAGAGTCACATCAGCGACACTGTTTTAATAATTTGGTTCATTAAAGCATAGAATTAGTAAATAGGAAATAAAAATAGGATGGAAGAAGAAAGCCATTCTTTATATTCTCTATTCACACATAAGCTTTCATAGAAAGCAGTCTTCAAACTATTGGTCAGCTGCAGGAGCCAAAATATGTATTGCAAATGCCTCAGCATCCTTTTGAAAGTGTACACAATTTAAACAGAAAAGCTGGTCTTCTACTAAAAAGGGGGTTAACTTAAGCTTACGATTTCAGTGCTGTACATGTAGTCCTTGAGATATGATAGATGACTTAACCAACATTCAAAGTTACAACAGACACTCCAAAATTACATATGATCCTGTTTCAAGTGGTCCCTAAGGTCATTCACCCTTACGACACACCACAGAAATGCTCACTTTGCTCCCCCCATCCCATTCTTTGAGACCCCACAGCACTTGGGCCTCCTCCCCACACTCCCATCACCCATCTCACTTATCTTTTGAAGTTCTTCAAACCTCACTGTAGGGAAGGAGAGCAGGCCATGTGTCCCATGCATCGGCAACCTGAACATGGCCACCATTTTGTCCCACCTGCTTGTGGGCTGGGACAAAATGGAAGCTGCCAGACAAACTGCTTCATTTTGCTGCCTTTACAAGGTCTACATAGCACTGCAGAAGCTACCTACTTCGTGGGTTAGGACAAAATGGTAGTTGCTTCCGGAACTGCTCCATGTGGCTGCAGAAAGGAACAATCCATTCCAGTGCTCTGGAAGGCCTCAGAGGCCTTCAAAAGTTAAGTGAGGAGGCTGGTGCTTGGCCTGATGGAGTGGAAATCAGGCCTAAGGCTGGAAAGACCCAGTGGGAGTGGGGAAAGGCCTGTTAATAAAATTGCACAAAAGACATCTGAATATAATCATTCAGAGCTCTATATTGGCTCTCTATTTTGCAAATATTGGAAAACTCATTATGGACAGCCTGTCTGGTATAGTGGTAAAGGCATCAGGCTAGAAACTGGGAGATCATGAGTTCTAGTGCCACCTTGGCCACAAAGACAGCTGGGGGATCTTGAGCCAGTCACTTTCTTTCAATCTAGGAAGGAAGCCAAGGGCAAACCACTTCTGAAAAATCTTGCCAAGAAAACTGCAGGAATTTGTCATGCAGTCTTTGAAAATTGTACGATTGAATGGAAGAAAAGCAATCTTAGATAAGTATACAGACCCTGTCACACTATCCCTGTCAGTTGAACAACAAAGTAAATTTGTGGACATTTTTGAAAAATTAGAACAATATTAGTGGAATAGAATTATTTTTGATCAATGAAATAAATCTGTGTTGTCATTCAAACATGGGATGCTTCTCTGTACAATCATGAATTCTCCTTTATCAAGGCCTCCAAACTGCTTGGTCAATGCTAATATGGACTAATAAATATGGATAAAACTCCCTTTACAAGGTACAGTTGAAATTGAGAACAAAGAAGCAAGAATTAATCTTAATCATGAGATCAAAGCATCAATCTAGATTCAACAAGAAAAAAAGTCTATGATTTGACAGGTTTGACAAAATGATAACATCTGTCAACATATTTTAAATTAATTGCATCTTTTCCTGGGATTGTGGAGCAGTAGTCATGTGAATCCTAGAAAAAAACAGAGCTTCCTTAAGGAATTACTGCTTAAAGATGATGGTAGATATTTTAAAACGCAGAGGCATCTGTAATCAATAAAAAGTAGTTAAAACTTTCCTGGTCACATAAAATTTTGGTATCGTAAAGCTTTGAAATTAAATTAAAATAAAATACAAATAAAGCCTCTAGAAGAGTTATTCTTCTCCAGGAAGGGTATAAGTAAGCAAATGTAGAGCATTAAAGACTCACCTGGCTGTTTGGGTCACCAAGTAAGTTACATATATGGGGCACAATCTTGCTCAAGGTTAAACTCTGAGCTCCAGATCTAAAACAGAGGAAGGGGGAAAAAGCAAGCAAGCAACATATCAGTTAAGTATTTTTCAAAGCAACTGAACGCAGGTATAAATTAGGCATAATAGTCCAACTTACGCATTAAGTGTTGCAATAAGGCAGAGGCAAATTCCTTCTCTTGTCCGGAAATTCTTGTGTTTGAATCCTCCCAAAATTCTGTCCCACACGTACTGTCACAAAGATATAAGAAAGTAAGGGGAAGGAAAAGATCCTAAAACCAAAATCAGCTGAATCTGCTTGATCCTGAATATCCTATTGTCACAAGTGTGATGGGGTTGCACACATAATGTGTATGTGTGGATGCATAAATGAATGAAGGTGGTGTAGGCAAGTGGAACAAACTTAACTACTGAAAAATATTTTAGAAGTTGATTTTTATTGGGCGGGAATATACTTATATGGCCTCTTTATATTATTTTGGCTGGCTTCTTATCATATCCACATATAAAGGCTCTAAAAAGTTATATTTTAAACATCAAAGCAAGGTAATTAAAATATCATGTATAAGATTCCACTGCTCTGATAGAATGCTAAACAACATTATATTATTTATACATAAAATACTTCATAATCTATATATAATTTTATTCAGAAGTTTTAAAGCACAGATAGCCAATCTATTGTTACAATCCTCAAGTACATCCCCTATTTTGTAGACACAGAATATTCCCAGATCATGACACAGCTTTTTGGTGGCAAATGGCTGAATTTCATTAGCATATTTTTTTTTATTTTATAGCAAATATAAAATCTTATCTATTAGACCATTTAAAGGAATAGACACTTAGCCTGAGGAACTAATAAATACTAATGAGCAAACAGCAAAGATAACCTGGTCTAAATGGAAAAGTTACCCTTAGATGACTTTAGACCCTTTATACGTGGATATGATAAGAAGCCATCCATCATTTTAAAAATGATCAGTTTGATTGGTTTGCTTAATGACTGTGGTGTTCACTTAATGACCGGTGCAAAAAAGGTAGGTAATAAAATCAGGTCAACTGATAATCCACTTAAAAACCAGCACAATTTACAACCATAATTCTGGCGTCAATTTGGGTCGTAAATCGAGGACTACCTGTAGTTATGGAACTAAGGCAGCTAAATTAGTGAATTTTTCTCAGAGGTCTCAAAATATATTTAATGTTGTTTCCGATATTAATTGGTTTAATACAAAGTAGACTTTTGAACATAAAGGGTTAAGGTTGAGGATATTCTTAAATATTGCTATGCAAACATAAATTATAAATAGAAGTTTTATGTTCAAGCACTAGGATAAAGCTATCTCCACTCTGTGCCTGGTTCTGTATACTACAAAAGTATGCTTCAACTGTGGCTTACATTGATTACAAAAGAAGCACAAATACACAGGTTAGCTATATGCTCTAGCTTTATCATATCATAAAAAGATTCCTGACTGTAATGTTTTTGGTCACCTCGATTAAGGATATTTTCTGCACTGATATAAATCCAGCAACTGTTCTGCTGATTTCCCCATACTGCCTATTTAAGTACTGGGGACAATTTTGCTGCTACAGTAGATACATAGCACCCATCCTATTTGAACAATAGAGTGTATTAGGCATAATAAAAATGTTCAATACAAATTGAACCAACTTGTGAATGGTTTTCTTGGAGCAGGTATTATAAGTTTGTACCCAATCATTCTACATTTCCAAGAACTCACCTGGGGACTAGCAGCTTGCTCCATGATTTTTAACAGCAGGGCCTGATCCTGCTCTCGTACAGAGTCTTTTGAATCTCCCAGTCTGTCAATTAGACTAGGTAACACTGGAGACAAAAAGAAAGGCGGATCACAAAGGAGGATTCAAAAAAACACAGTTGGCATTTCAGATCAACACTAAAACATGTCTACCTTCCCAAGTGCCTTGTGTGGTGTTTTGGTAAGCTGCTCATGTGGAAGAAACAGACACTTGCTTCAGACAACAGGCTGTGAAAAAGGCTGCCCTGTCATTGTGATGTTTGCATATGCTGCAAGCTTCCCAAGTATGTCCAATCGTATTTATTTTCATGCACTGTATTAATGGCTGATGCCTGCAGTTACCCCATACAGGTAGTCTCTTTGCTTAATGACCAGTCAGTTAACAATCATCTGAACCCCCCAAAAGTTACTTACAACCTATCCCCAAAGTTACAATTGCCATACACACACCTGCAGTTATGTGACTGCATTTTAGGGACTTGGCAACCAGATCACATTTACATTAATGTTAATTAGTGATTTGAGGCTCTTTGGGATTCATGGGTCCTGCTACAACAGCAGCAGTTGGGGACTGTGATTGGGGTGGGTGTAGGTGGGTGTTTCCAGCTTCTGCTCTTGCATCAGTTGTGACCCTAGCTGGGGTGGTAAGATTTTGTTACAATGGCTGAGGTCCTCATTATCGCCACTTGCTCAGATTACTATAACACACTCTACCTGGAGCTGTTTTTGAAAATCACACGGAAGAATGCAGTTGGTTCAGGGTGCAGCGTATGCTGACCAGCGTTTGCCAGTAGGGACACATTATACCAATGTTGTTGGAATCTGCATTGGTTGCTAAAGGCTCCTGGCTACAATTTTAAAGTGCTGGCATTAAATTTTAAAACTGCTAGTTATCTGCATGAGTAGATTCACTCATTTGAATTGCCCTGACCAGTTCAGCCTACCTGGGGAGAAACTATTAGTAGTGTTTACTTTGAGGAACGGAAAGTGCTACTTTTTTGTGTCCGCCTGCTTTCTGGAAACTGGGCTTTTTCAGACCGGATCTTAATTTATTTTATTCCATCCTTTCATTAGTTTGTGAACACTTATTTTACACTTGATTGTTTTTATGTGTTAGAGTCCTTAAGGATCAGCAATCTACACTGTAAATGTAAATAATAATTCAGTGTCATCAGACATATACGAGAATCTTTCACAGGTATTGACTTTTTTAAAGATTTTTTTTTATCCTGCTTTTATTACTACTATAAGTAGTTCAGGGTGGAGAATGTATCTAATACACTCCTTTCCTCCTATTTTCCTTACAACAAGAAGGTGGGTTGGTGAGGTGGGTTATGCAGAGAGAAACTAACTGGCCAAAGACAACCAACTAGCTGTCATAGCTAAGTAGGATTAAAACTCACAATCTCCTGGTTTCTAGGACAGCACCTTAACAATTACACCAAACTGGCTCTTCATGACTTCCCCATGTCCTGTACAAAGCTCAAAGGTATATTATCCAATCAGCTGAAAACTAGCATTAGGATGATTCGTGCTGAGTCTATAATTTCATTCAAGGGCCATGCTTGTAGGGATTCAGGACCTATTCCTCTCTACTTTAAAAATAACATACAAAGGTAGGCCACCTCATAAAGTGTGGGGCAAAAAAAGTTTTAAAAGACAATGTGACTCTGGATTTTAGCTGGATTCTTTGGATACAAACTTAATTCCTTTTCCATATTCTTCCCAATTTACAATTCTCAAAGGAAACTACAATCCTTGCATACTATGCCTTTGTATCCTTTTTTAATGTTTTGCATACTCTATAAGAAAAGAGTCTCTTCCCTTCTTCTCCTTGCCTCAACAAATGCAGACAGAAACAGCTATAAATGTATTTGCTGCTATAAATGTGATGGTCATTAAACAGAATTGTCAAGCTTTGGAGTGCAAACTCTAGGGCACACTTTTTGTTACTGGTTTCACACCACCTACTAAAACCTAAACCAGGATTCATGTAATTGCCATATTTCGATAACACGTTTTACCAAATAAGCAAGCCATATTATGGCTTAGCATAATAGCCTACCTCACACAACATGCTAAAACATGTTGTGATATTAAGGTTGGATTCCCACTACATCCTGAATCATCTAACTGCATTTTAGGTTAGTATGTTGTATGAAACCAGCCTGCACATTACCAAATGTTCCTCAGGGAAAACTGTAAAAGCAAAATAATTATGCAGTTCTTATCTAACATTACAATGCAAAGTAACTTCTGTCTTCGTACCAATGGCAAAGTTCCTGATTTTTTTTAATTATTGCAGGTTGCCGTTCCTTCTAACTAACAAGAACAAGCTTGCCCACACATATGACCTCAAATGTAATTTTAAGGAAAGTTACCAAGGCCAGTACACCCTGTTTAATACAGCAGCCTATCCCTTGGCTCTGATTATCTCACCTGTGCCAATTTGAGCTTTAAATCTATCTTGGAGCCGTGACACAAGTGCAGATAAGATGTCCAAGCCCAGCAGGACAACCTGAAAACAACAACAAAAAAGAAGGTTAAAAAAGATGCAATCTCTGAATATGGAAAAGAAATATGAATATGAAAACAGTGAATATGCAACATAGACATTAAAAAGGATATTAAAGGAATGGGCTCTCATAACCCCCAAACAAAATGTTGTTAAAAGTTGCACAAACTTCATTTTGATGTTTAAAAGGATCTGGAGTCTTCTAGATAACCAATGCTGTAGATAACACTGTAATTAGGCAACTGCTATGAAATAAATGAACCCAATTCAACAACTAAGATGGACAGAAACCAATGTCCCTCCTGATGCTATGCACCTTTATTGGAGTAAATCCTTCTATTCAGTTATCCAACTTTTCTCAGGACAGTAAATGTTCTATTGCTTATTCTGTCCTTGCTTCCCATATACTTAAATGGGAGGTTGAAGATTCTGGATTACAGAAGGAAGTTTTAAGCTTGGTTGCTTATTATGGATTAATTAACCCATGTTGTAAATCCTGATAGAAGAAGAGTAGAGGAATGATGTCAGGTTATGTAGTGTTGCATTTTGTTTGTGGTTTCTTAGTTGTGATTCAGGAAACCTAACTAACATCTATGCAACAGCTCAGGAAAATGCAAATAAATAGAACAGCTGCAAGCCTAAAGATTAATTTCCATAAAAGTTATCAATACTGGTTTAAGATAAGCAAGTGAGGAGAGAGAAACATTATTTGAAATAATACATAAAATGGCAAATCAAACTATACTGAAGATGCACCACTTTGTAACCTAAAAGTTATCAATAAGCAAATTAACATTAACTGAGTTAAAAAAAAAACCTGGGCCAAATATTGTATAAATTGAAATTGTTGACATGTTTTTACCAAGCTTAATCATTGTTTTGAAAATGATGCATACTATATCATGTGGCATCACAGCACTAATAAAACAATGTATTCAAATTCAATGTTATTTAAAATAACATTTTTTATTAGTAATAAATCTTTCAAGAATTTATCAAAGCCATATTGGTGTATGGGGTGGGGGGGCAGGAGAGGGGAAATTTGAATCCTTATGTGAGCAGTACATTTATGACTAACCAAAGGATTAGTCATTCAGAATTGGACAGCATATAAATTTAATAAATGGATTATAGATTTTGAATACATGCTGTTTTGAATCCATACAATTATACATACTTCAACATGTAAGATAGAGGGGAGAGACCGATAATGCAGTATTTGTGTTTAACTTATTCCAACTCTTGACATCTTTAATGCAATTAAAGTACTATGAATGTACTGGTTTACATGTAATAAATTTAAAGAGTCAGAGAAAAATAACGTATGCTGATATAAACTTTCCCAAAATTACTTTTTAAAAATACTAAATTAAAAGCAAAAAACAAACAAACAAACAAACAAACCACCAAAAAGCCCTACATTCTACAAAGCTGTAATTTTAAAAAAGCCTTTATCCCTCCTGCAAAATGTTCTAACTACAAAGCGACTCTTTCTTGAATTTGCAGCCACAACATATCTGCAAGGAACCAGACTGGAGAAGTGTTTGTGTGAAGCATCCTGAAAGGAAGCAAACCAAATATATATTTTAGAAAGCCACTAAATAGCAAATTTATGTAATTCCCAGAATGTACTTGCTGCAGAATTCAGAGATTAATAAACCTCCAAATACACACTTAACTCCAAACACAGAAGGAATTTACATGCAGAGCTCTTCTGTTACAGGAAGCTTACCCAAATAGGCCAGCCTTTCTCATGCCTGTGCCTTTCAAGGGCACTGGACTACACCTCCCATCATCCTCCTTTGTGGAAGTTGCAGTCTAATGGTATGGGGTTGCGCCCATTTGGAGAAAGCTGGTCTGTAACATTACTATGGGCTTTAATTAAAAAGAAAAAATGATCAACCAAGCTCTAAACTCAACGAGGACACGTATAGGAATGCAGTCTAAGCAAAAGGAATGCAGTCTAAAGAGGATGTGAAGGGTGAATTTTCCCCATCGCTAGGCAGGCGCGCCAAAACAAGATCTTCAGAAGCGGAAGCATTGCTTCGATGCTTAAGACCGACGCCCCGCTACGCTTAGTCGTAGCACCGCCCACTATGCAAAACGACTGCTGCAAGGCATTTTGGGTAACCTCCAAACTTACGAAGAGAGGAGCCTGAAAGCTGCTTGCTTTGCAAATACTTCAGAAACGGCATTAATCAACACGCCGTCCACCGCAAAGCAGTCTAAGGAAGCAAATGCGGGTCGCGCCTCACTATGATCTCGATGGGTTTCCCGTTCAGTTCCCCAGACCGCCGCCTCCACGGCTTCCCTCAACCATCCTTATCTTGGGGTTGCGCTACTGTTCAATGAACGTTTAGTGAGGACAGTACTGCTAACACCTACACAACACATTGGCATCCTTGGGGCTTGCTCCCCACATGAGGTGCAATTTTTGGAACCTTCTTTTAAATATACCTCCCCACAACGGGGTACAAACCTACGAGACAATGTTAATGCATAGCGTTTCCTTGTTTTGTGCTGCGGTAGGTATATTAAATATTGAGACAACTGTCCCTAGCTTCTTTTTCATTGGCTACCACCAGATGGTGCTACAGATTACATGGTAAGACCCAGAATAACCAAGTTGTATTTAGGAGGGTTTGAAATCTTGCAACTTCTGTATCCTAAAGCAGTCATAGGTAACCTGCTTATTTCCATAGGTACCATTTATTCAACAACAAGGTTTGAATCTTGCAACTTCTGTATCCAAAAGCAATCAGACTTAAGCTGGTTATTTCCATAGGTACCATTTATTCGACAACAAAAAATACAAACGGAGCCAAGAGCACAGAGGTATTTGAATCCCATACAAAACCCCCTTCAAAACTACTCCACCTTTGATACAGTTTCTTCAATCGCCAAAGGCATCTAACAAAGTTAAAAGCTCCTGTAAAACATTAATAGATTGTTAAGGAAGGCAAGTGGTTTCTTCCCCAATCCTTACTGTGTTAACATTTCTAGGAAAATCAGGAAAGCTAAAGCAGCTATGTACTGCTTTTAACTGTTTTATCAGCCTTGGACCAATCGCCCTCCTTTAGGTAAAAGGTGGGGAGAATCCCCCTGAGTCAGTGTTGGCTGGTGAACACCTGGACAAGTCCCTGAGATTTTCTTGGCAGGGTTTTTCAGCCTTGCCCTTGCCTACTACCCAGGGCTGAAAGAGAAGGACTGGCCCAAGGTCACCCGACAGGCTTTAGGCCTAAGGGAGGAACTGGAATTCATGATCTCCCAGTTTCTAGTCTGGTGCCATGACACCACGCCCAACTGGCTCAAACCCAAACTAGCAAAGTGGAAAATTTAGGACTCCCCTCCCCCCTGAAATAGCAATAGAAGAGGAAATGTGTTGGATGTTTTTAACCAGGTGCCTTTAACTACTATAACCAAAGTGGCAGTCTTTTTAGGTAAAACCTCCCCTTAAGTCAAACTGAATTCCTGGCAACATGGAAGTTTTCAATTCAGCCACCTTCTGAGACTTTTTTTTTTTTCATTCCCAATCTAGCTTAATCTTCTGACTCTCATAGTGCTCTCTTATCCAAATGCTAATCAGGTCCAATCACGCTTAGCTTTTTTGAGATCAGCCCACTTTTGACATGGGTCTGCCACCTGCTGTGAACTCTGCATTTCTACAAAGAGGAATCAAGAGTGATCCACTTTGCAAGGAAGCAGAGTAGAATGTATGCTGCCCAGAGTCACTTGTTGAGATGGCAACTATAGAAATAAAATGCAATACGTACATACATACTGTATGTCACAGAAGTGAGTACAGCCCCTCACATTTTGTAAATATATCTTTTCATGTGACAACACTGAAGAAATGACACTTGGCTACAGTGTAAAGTAGTGAGTATACACCTTGTATAACTGTGTAAATGTGCTGCCCCCTCAAAGTAATGCAACACACAGCCATTAATGTCTAAACTGCTGGCAACAATAGTGAGTACACCCCTAAGTGATAATGTCAAAATAGGGCCCAAAGTGTCAATATTTTGTGTGGCCACCATTATTTTCCAGCACAACCTTAACCCTCTTGGGCACAGAGTTCACCAGAGCTTCACAGGTTGCCACTGGAGTCCTCTTCCACTCCTCCATGATGACATCACAGAGCTGGTGGATGTTAGAGACCTTGCGCACCTCCACCTTCCGTTTCAGGATTCCCCACAGATGCTCAATAGGGTTTAGGTCTGGAGACATGCTTGGCCAGTCCATCACCTTTACCCTCAGCTTCTTTAGCAAGGCAGTGGTCGTTTTGGAGGTATGTTTGGGGTCGTTACCACGTTGGAATACTGCCCTGTGGCCCAGTCTCCAAAGGGAGGGAATCATGCTCTGCTTCAGTATGTCATAGTACATGTTGGCATTCATGGTCCCCTCAATGAACTGTAGCTCCCCAGTGCCGGCAGCACTCATGCAGCTCCAGACCATGACATTCCCATCACCATGCTTGATGGAAGGCAAGACACACTTGTCTTTGTACTCCTCGCCTGGTTGCCGTCACACACCCTTGACACCATCTGAACCAAATAAGTTCATCTTGGTCTCATCGGACCACAAGACATGGTTCCAGAAATCCATGTCCTAAGTCTGCTTGTCTGCAGCAAACCGTTCGCGGGCTTTCTTGTGCATCATCTTTAGATGAGGCTTCCTTCTGGGACGACAGCCCTGCAGACCAATTTGATGCAGCATGAGGCATATGGTCTGAGCACTGATAGGCTGACTCCCACCCCACCCCTTCAATCTCTGCAGCAATGCTGGCAGCACTCATACATAATTTCCCAAGCCAACCTCTGGATATGACACTGAGCATGGGCACTCAACTTGTTTAGTCGACCATGGCGAGGCCTGTTCTGAGTGGAACCTGTCCTGTTAAACCGCTGTATGGTCTTGGCCACCGTGCTGCAGCTCAGTGTCAGGGTCTTGGCAATCTTCTTATAGCCTAGGCCATCTTTATGTAGAGCAACAATTTGTTTTTTCAGATCCTCAGAGAGTTCATTGCCATGAGGTGCCATGTTGAACTTCCAGTGACCAGCATGAGAGAGAGCGAGCGAGAACATCAAATTTAACACACCTGCTCCCCCTTCACACCTGATACCTTGCAACCCTAATGCATCACATGACACCAGGGAGGGAAAACGGCTACTTGGGTCCCATTTGGACATTATCACTTAGGGGTGTGCTCACTTTTGTTGCCAGCAGTTTAGACATTAATGGCTGTGTGTTGCGTTATTTTGAGGGGACAGTATATTTACAGTTATACAAGCTGTATACTCACTAATTTACATTGTAGCCAAGTGTCATTTCTTCAGTGTTGTCACATGAAAAGATATACTTAAATATTTACAAAATGTGAGGGGGTGTACTCACGTCTGTGACATACATACATAGCATGCATACATACATACATACATACATACGTACATACATACATACATACATCATCTTGCTCTTTCAGGCAAGTGACTTACACCCATCATAGAACCCACTGACAGCTGTCCATTCTATGCATTTAAAGAAATACAGTAATACCTGCATTTTAAACATTAATTGATGAGTTCCTCGTTCTTTATATTATTATTTCTGTATGTTTCCATTTTCAAATCTGGACATTGAATAGATCCACTGTCTGGATTACCCTGAGAGAGAAGTTTTTGGATGCTCTCCTGTGGATCTTGCTAACTCCCACACTATTGATAGGGTTTAGTTGGGGCAATTTTGAGGGTTGGGAATTCAAGGTCCTGTAGTTGCTCAGGTCACTACTAAAAACGAGCAGAGAAGAGTGTATATGTTTGGTCCCCTGATATCAGGGATGCCACAGCATCCCAGTCTCTTCAATGATTCTGCCCTAATAATTGCAAAGTACGGTCATTTTGAGGCACTCTCCGCATCTCACCTTTGAAAGCCTCAAAGCCTCAACTGGAAAATGCTGTGGCCAAGTTGGTAAGCTAGATCACACAGCATCAGTCCTACGCATGTTTTACCAGCTACTGGGAATCAATTTAAGTCTTTTTCTAAGGCTTAAAAAAGCCTTTCCAGTTCTCCATTTGAGGATTTTCTGCTGGTCTTCTCTCCAAATAATAACCAGATCTGATCCTCTTCAGCTTTTCAAGATCAGTCAAGGTCAGCTACTTCATGTGGTGTTTTGTACTTGTGGGTAGGCCCTAAGTATCACAACACCAAAATAACTGCTCGACTATTGTCACATTGCAACTATTACTGCGAAGTGATTCTGCTTGACTGAACTAGGTCTATGCAATTTACACCATCAAACTTACATAGCAAATTATGTGCGATCTAGGCATACATTAAAAATCAAATTATCACTGCATGTTCTAAGGTGCAATGCTTTAAAAATATAAATCTTTACTAGGGAAAGTCTATTACCTAGTAAAGCACCAAAGAGGGCAGGAGAAGAAACCATGGATGGAAACTAATCAAGGAGAGAAGCAACCTGGAATTAAGGAGAAACTTCTAACAGTGAGGACAATTAACCAATGGAACAGCTTGCCTTCAGACGTTGTGGGTGCTTCATCACTGGAGATTTTTAAGAGACTGGACAGTCAGTCTGAGATGGTATAGGGCAATGATGGCTAACCTTTTCCAGACTGAGTCCCCAAAGCACATAGGTGGGCAAATGTGCGCGCGTGCTTGAACCCCCAAAATGCAATGTCTGTGCGACTCCTGCGCATACGCCCCCTGTGCATGCACGCATGCCCCCCGCACACATAGTAGCAGGTATGCACGCCCAACGATCAGCTGGCCAGCACGCATACACAGGCCGGTTTTTGGTACTGCCATACGCGTGAAAGACAAATGATCATCATGAATGCATGCATGCCAGAAACCCGGAAGACAAACAGGCAAGGCCGTACATGCCGGGCAACATGGCTTTGTGTGCTACTTTGGGCACACGTGCCATAGGTTCACCATCACGGCCCTAGGGAGATACACCTGGTGGGAACCAGAAGTAAGGCCTTCTCTGTGGTGGCCCCCTCTCTCTGGAACATCCTCCCCACAGAGATTAGAATGGCCCCCACTCTAGCACTCTTCCAAAAGGCGCTGAAGACCTGGTTCTGCCAGCGAGCCTGGGGAACCCAGAGTGGGATGGAGCCCATTAAATGGCTCGTGTGAGGTGCTGTTGCTGGGGGTTGATTTTAGTATATTAATTTATATTATATGACTCTTATTAGTTTTATATGGGGTTTTATATTCTGTAAGCCACCTTGAGTCGCCATGTGCAAATGGGCGGCAATATAAATTCCATAAATAAATAAATAAACAAACAAACAAGTCATCTTTTCCAGTGCCGTTGTAACTTTGAATGGTCACTAAATGAACTATTGTAAATTGAGGACTACCCCGTATGCAACTTCTTATTTCTGTGCCTTCTGTGTCTTTTATGCCTTAGGTCTCACATCAACTCTTCAAGATAGCCCAATTTTTCTAGTGGAATTGTTCTGTAGGAAAGTAGGAGGGACTGCTATGTACACAACCTTGAAAGCTGGACTGTTGTATCCTGCCCAGAGCCAAAGAGATGCTGGCAAAACATTTTCCATTCCAATGGGTTTCCATTCGCACAACTCTCGTTTACAGACTAAAGACTGATGCAACCCAATTGTAAGAATAGGACTGTCTCGCAAGCAGGTTCTAAAATTGGGTGATCAATTCAACCAGCAATTAAACTCATTTGTAGGAAATAAGTACCACCTAACTATATACAAAATCCATAGGGAGGAAATATGAAACTCAAAACAGAAGTAGCAGGATTACTTCCACTGACAAATCCTGCGTTACCAATTCAGTATAGCAAAGTGTGAAACCTGCAAGGTTCTAAATATAAAAGAAACTGAATTCCCCAACACACACACACCTGGTTCCTGGGTTTAGACAAATGAGAAACAGTTAAGCCCTTCAAGATCTTTTTATCTATGTCATGTCGGTATTTAAAATTAGATAAGAGGTCAAACTATTGCAGAGTATTCTTTCACAGGGAGAAGGGGGTGGGGGGAAAATCCAGTGCTGTTAGAATGGCATTTCACCAACCGGCCCTTTGCCAGTATTGTCAGATCATTAGCAGAGCTGTCCCAGAATTTATAGGTATAAAAATGTTGGTTGGCTTGGAAAACATTGCTGGATTTTACTTCAAGGAACTTTACTCTTCAAAATGGCTGCCTTGACTTGGCTAGTCAAGAACCACAGCATAAACTACATTACAAAAAGGAAATGTCTGACAGAAACAAAGACAGAATTGTCTTAATCTGAACCAGACCCTGGGTCGGTCTAGTGCAGTGATGGCTAGCCTTTTCTGCACAGAGAGCCAAAAGTGCGCAAAAGTGCACGTGTGCACACCCATAATGCAATGCATTTGCAACCCCCCCGTGCGCCCCTCTCTGTGCATGCCCCTCCTCCTGTGCATGCGCGTGCCCTCTGCTCACCGTATGTCCCACCCAAGCTCGCTCGGCCCCTGCACATGCATGTGCAACCCACACACGGAGTCCCCGCCCCTGCACATATGCATGTGACCCCATGCATTCGGCCCACCCAAGAATGTGCATGCATCTCCCGCATGCAGTCCGCCCCCGCGCATGCGCGGCAGAGATTCGAAAATCAGCTGGCCAGCGGGAGGCACACGTGCATGCATAAAAGAGCTGAGCTGGGGCGATGGCTCGGGTGCCCACAGAGAGGGCTCTGCATGCCACCTTTCGCCATCACAGGATAGTGTCTATTACTATTCAAACTAGGGGCAGGCAAGCTAGTGATTTTTTAAAGTCTATCCCCCACATTTTCCTGCTACTCATCCTGTTGATTGGAGTTGAGGGAAGTTAAAAGTTCAAAACATTTGGAAGGCTCTAGGTTGATCTACAAGGGTGGTCAGTTTCTCCTCAAATTGTTCGAAAAATCTGGAGATGCTTGGGACTAACATAGACTTTCAAATGCAAAGTAGTTGTGCTAGCATTGAACTATATTTCCATTTATTGTACCTAAAAATATTAGATGGCGTGTAACAGAATATGGAATGTGTAACATCACGTCTGAAGTGAAAATCCCACAGTTTTCACCCACATGTATATTTGTGATTCTTCCTGTCTTATTAATTCTGCTCCCTTACACATCTCTTTTTTGAAACTCAAACTAACATGGGATGTAGGGAATCTTGCTGAGCTACCTAAGTACTGGTATTTTAATATGCTTCCCTCACTTTAAATATATGTATGGTTTTATGAGGCTCAGAATTTTTCCAAACAATCACAAAAATGACCCTCCACAAACCTGGAGAAGCCATCTGAACACCCTAGAAGAGAACAATAGAAGAAACTATTTTATCCCTCTACTTGTGACAGTGTAATGCTTTGATGAACCTAAATTGCAAAAACACAAAAAAAACAAAACCTCTTTTTGATATAAATAATAACTTTTTAGTAACGTAAAAGCCAACAGACCCAGTGAACCCCAAATCACAAAGGCTGAATTATTTCCTCCCTCTTGACCATGGAAAGGAACACCTGGACAACAGCAATAGCCTTCAGATGCCACTCTCATCGGCTTTCCCTAGTAGGCTGGTGGTCAACGATAATGGAATTGTAACTTAATATTTAGGTGGTCAAAGTTCCCCACTGCTAAAATACACCATCATCTGATTTTTGAGATCGAAATCTTTTTTTTCATCCTTCAGGGAAATAGAGGGATTGAATATAGATCTCCTGTAAACTGCCTTCTTCCAGTGAATGCTAGCCTTCCTGCAATCTCCGAGGATAAGCAGGAAGGAGAAAAAGTTGCTTTTTGAATTGTAATCTTCTGCAAACTTAGTACTTTATTAAATACTGCTGCATGATTGATGATACAAATGTCTATTTCTTTGAACTGATTATGTAAATACGATTTATTGGTTGCACATGCATAGATATATAAATGTACCACCACAAATCTCTACCCTTGCCACCCTAGATGTAAGAATATGAGTATTTATTTGTATTATCAATCATGCAATTTTAAATCACATCTAAAGCTGAACTTATGAGGATATGCAAGCTGTGCAGTAATGAAACAAAGGCATGCACTAGCCTGTTTTCCCCTCCCCCCCCAAGGGCATCATTCAGTGTACAGAAATCAGATATATACAGTATTTTTCGGACTATAAGACACACTGGTGTATAAGACACACCAAGATTTCAAAGAGATAAGTAAGAAAAAAAAGGTTTTTGCCCTCCCTGGCCCCCAGGAGGACTCTGCAGGCCTCCCAAACCCTCTGTGCGCCCCATTTTTTGCAAAAACGGCCTCGTTTTCACCTGTTTTTGCAAAAAACGGGGCGCACAGAGAGTTTGGGAGGCCTACAGAGTGCTCCTGGGGGCCAGGGAGGGCAAAAACGTCCCCGTTTTTGTGAAAAACGAGCGAAAAATGGGGGCCATTTTTCACAAAAATGGGAGCATTTTTGCCCTCCCCAGCCCCCAGGAGCACTCTGCAGGCCTCCCAAACCCTCTGTTGGGATGAGCAGGGCGGGGCTTTGGGAGGCCAAAAATGGCTGCATTTGGTGTATAAGACACACCAACATTTCCATCCTCTTTTAAGGGGGGAAAAATGTGTCTTATACTCCGAAAAATACAGTAAATTTTTTGCTTACATTGGTGGCAACTGCATTTTCCCAAGCTTTTATTTTTTTAAAAGAAAACCTGCAAAACTACAGTAGTCTGTTTTTATGCAAGTATATAGAATAATGAATTCTGGTCAAATGGGACTGATTGATTTACGAACAGAAATAGAAACAGGAATCTTAAATGAATGATCTGACAAGCCCTATCCTATTTCTTCAAGCAGCATGAACTTCATCTTCTGGGATTCTTCTAAAAAATTCTGCCAATTTAAATAAAAATGCTGGTCAGTTTGGAAGCCCATAAATTACTTGTCTGCAAAAGTTTGCCTTGCTTGCACACTTCCCCATGTCCTCAAATCTATTCTTAAGGTTTATTCTATAGTGGCTCCCTGTCCCCTCCCCACCCTCACAATCTGCTCCTCATCTGTCACACCAAGATGCAGCACTGGGTGATTTTTGTGGTCAACCAAATCATGAGATGTAAGGCTTCCGTAGGAGTGTGACTTGAGAGGACTAGGGAACCTAGATCTGGCCATATGAAGAGGCAGCAGGGAGTGGAATCCGATCTTTCAATGGTGACTATTCATCTGGAGAACAGATACAGCCTCAGTTGACAATGCAGGCAAGGTTTGCTATGACCCCATTAAATGTCAAGAAACCGTACAGCAAAAGCAAATCAGTTCCTAAAAAGGCCCCCAAATCGCTCCATTATTAGTAGCAGAAATAATATAATCAAATTTATTGGCCAATTGGGAATAGGCCCATCTCATCCTCAAGGTGCCTTATTAGGCTGTCTTTCTCTGTTCTAATGCTATTGTTTGCAAGTAGTATGTTCCATCAAACAATCTATATCTTTTAATCTTGGAAGATTGAGGTGCAATGGCTTGAAAATATTCTCAAAGCATTACAGCCATTCTACCAAGCAGAAATAAATACCTCCTATTGATTTTTTCTTTTTAAAAAGGAAGTATCTCTTTAAAAAAAAAGCATCTCCTACAATCACTATTTGTGAATTGATCTCCAACTTGTTTCTCCCTTGAATCTTGTCCAGCTTTTTAAAAAAGATCCATGGGAAATTGAGTGAGGAAGTATAAGGAAAGAAGAAGGAACACTGCTTGTTGTACCCAGATCGGAAGAGATGGCAAGTAGCAGCGATTTCCAAAATTTTTGGGAAAGAAGGCCACGTTCTCACTTCACACCAATTGTTTTCCCCAAACATCTCAGCAAGTCCTCAGGCTTAATCACTAGGCTACTTATTCAGTAAGACATCTTACCACCAGAGGTGGATAACATGCCCTTGAATGTTTTTATCCATGCATGAAAGACCTTAGAACCTTGCGAGCTTTCTTGGATCAATATTTGAGTGAAAGAAACCTTAAATAGCCTGTTTCAAAGCTGCATCAATTTTAGAGGACTGTGCCTTGAGCTTGACAGGCAAACCACAATCCTGTACAAAAGTTTTATTTTATAGTACTGGAGTACACAAGAAGTCCTAAGCCAAAAAAAGAGTTCACTAGCGAGTAATTTGACTTTCACTCCAGTTACTGAAGTTCTCTTCAAAATGTCCGAGGCTTCTCCGATTTGTGCATATTTTCATATCTAGGATATAAACTGCACATAAGCCAACAGTTCACTTACATTTCTTAATAAATAGGGTGGTTATCAACTATGAAAAAGTATAAAAATGCAAAGAGATTTTGAAGCAAAGCTTCTTTCAGTTCTCATTTTGGAGAAGTCTGATTTGTCTGAGGAATGCTTCACTGAATCAGTGCCTGATTACTTAAGACAGAAACCAAGGGAGGTTTTATGCCACCAGATTTAAGGATTAGGAAGAGTCAGAGCAATGTTTTATCTTCAGCAAGAGAGACTTGGGTTACTACGCTAATTCTGTTCAAGATACAACATTTAGAAGAGATAAAAGATCTGAAACTTTTGGCCCTTCCACACCTGCTCATCTACAGGTCCAGATGAGCTATATCACAACTCCCACTATCTCCAGCTAACTTTGCTTTTGATCTGCCTGACAGGAGGTAATTGGGGCTGGAGTCAGACCCACCCGAAGGGCTGAACAGATTCCTTTGCTAAGCCCCAAGACTGAGATAGCTGGCTTAAGACAAACTCTGGCTTCCATTATAGCACCGTGATGGCGAACCTATGGCACGCGGGCCAGAGGTGGCCCACAGAGCCCTTTCTGTGGGCACATGCGCCATCGCCAGCTGCTCTTCTGGTTTCCGGCGCGCACATGCTGGTCTTTGTGGGCATCGGAGCGCCACAAAACAACCCACAAAACGGCCGGAAAATGGCCAAAAAACAGGCATGCATGTGCCAGCCAGCTGGTCTTCAGGTTTCTGGTGCTTCAGCGTGCTTGAAGACCAGCTGGCCGGCATGCATGCACGTGCTGGAAACCAAACGCATTCCTGTTTGGGCAGACGGTGCCGAAAAGGTTCGCCATCACTGTTATAGCCAAATGCAACCACCCATATCATCAGTCCAATTTCTCTTTTTTTTTTTCTAACCTGCTTTCCTTTCTGTCTTTTGGTCACTTAGCTTTTCTTTGTTTACCCATCAAAAACCTGCTGCTTCACTAAGAAACCTCTGCAGAGAATCAGCTACCCCAAATGGTCAGGTGGAAAATCAGGGAGGAGATAGGCAGAAAAACAGGGACAAATAGAGATAAAATGACTTTCCAAAAAAAGTGTATACCCTAATCTCTGCATTACTGTAATGCATCTGCCAGTTTGTCTTCTTCCAGCACCAATAACGTTCATGGAAAATATGGATTGATGACTGGCTGATCATATTTATATGCCATCAGACTGAAAAAAACCACTATATTCTAAGCAAGCATATTTCCTGCATACCATAGGATATTGCACCACTAGTCAATAAAGAAATGAAAACCTGGAGATCTTTTCCCCTCCTTTCTTCTGTACACCCACATACAGATTTTTCAAAGAGAGAGTTTCACAACATGCCGCATCTTCAATAGAAAATCAAATCAGGACATCCTCCCTGTCATTTTGGATTATTACACAAAACACTAATAGAATGTCCTGTGGAAATAATTACCTTTTTCAAAAACGAACACTGCTGCTAGAAAATACAATAATTGTGTACCCGTGAAAGTAAATATTTAAGAACATTAAAGAGGTTGCAAGCAAGAAATAGAAAATAATAAGATGGATTTAACCATGCAGAAAAGTTAACTTTTATTTAAAAAGGTAACTTTTTGTGGCACCATACTGCTTTCTATATCTGTACTTAGGTTTTACTTTTCCAATCTGACTACAACTATTTTTAACCTCCTTGGTCTTTTTACAGCAGTTGGAAGAAAAACTCCAAGAGCCTTGGTAGTACAGGGGTTTAAGGCACCCTGTTATTAAGCTGGTTATTAAGACCAGCTGCCTGCAATTACTGCAGGGTTCGAATCTCGCCAAGGCTCAAGGTTGACTCAACCTTCCATCCTTTCTAAGGTAGGTAAATTGAGGACCCAGTTGTGGGGGCAATAAGCTGACTTTGTATAAATATACAAAAGGATGAAGGCTATTGCTGAGCACATTGTAAGCCGCCCTGAGTCTTCGGAGAAGGGCGGCATCTAAATCAAAATTTTAAAACAAAACAAAAAAACAAAACAAAACAACGAATGTCCTTCAGTAAAGACAAATCCTGAACGCAAAAGGTTCATTTTTAACCTTTTTAATGGATCATAATTGGAGTATATCACATACATAAGTAGGCATTTGACTGTAGACGAAGAGTGAATAAAATAAGAGGCATGGAAAATAAAACCCCTGCTGCTGGAATCAAGACTTGTGCAAAAATTTCACAGTCATGTTCAAACTTGAGGAATGTATTTGGAAAACCATAGGTTAAAAAACTTTTATCCTGACATTATCTTACAGTAGTAGGAGACAAGGCTCTAATGAAGTTTAATGATTCATGAGTGATTTCAAGGTCACTGTGCAAGTGAGCTATCAGAAAGCTAGACATATTACATGCTGAATTAACAGAATCTCACTTTTTCTAATGGCAGTGACCCATGCTGTTCCTTTTGGCCTACAGGTTTTCAAATGGAGATATGTAACCCATCTGTATCACTTTACCATTAAAAAGATATTTATGGAGCAGTGCCAGACAATAATATCACATAATCCCCTCCCACATATGCTACAACACTAGAAGAATATCAATAAAATGCAAGCTCTAATCAAAGAAAGATTATTTTCCTCAGCATCTCAACTGTCAGTTTTCAAAACG